TAGACGTTCAAGGTACCGTTAGAAAGCTGGCATCGCGTAAAACCAGGCAGCCGAGTATCAGGTGCTGCACCAAAAGGACAACCGAGGAATCTGGCGTCAAACTCAGCTCTACGCCAGGGTAAAGACCCCTTCCATAATAGGATGTATCTCCACCAATATTGGTGCCAGGTAGACGTTCAAGGTACCATTGGAAAGCTGGCTTCACGTAGAACTAGGCCCTTGAGCATAACATGCTGTGCCCAATGGACACCCGAGAAATCTGGCATGAAAGTCAGCACTCTGCCAGAACTCCGCCAGGGTAAAGACCCCTTTCATAACAGGATGTATCTCCACCAATATTGGCGCTGGGTAGACGTTCAAGGTACTATTGCAAAGCTGGTATTGAGTAGAATAAGGATACCGAGCATCAGATGCTGCGCCCAAAGTCTGCCTGTGGAATTGTGCGTCAAAGAACCTTGCCCACTGGAACAGCCAGGACTGGTGAAGAAAACAACAAAGTCCAGAATGCAGGGGAGGTAGTGTGCCAGACACTGGTATGGGGACAGGCTGTAAATTGGTAGGGGGATGGGTGGGTAGGAGGGGGGGGGGGGTGGTAGGGGGGTGGTAAAGGGGTAGCGGCTGGCAGCTGAGTTTATCACTCGGAATCTCAGAATGGTAACTAGTCAGCATAGCTCGCTTAGGATGTAATCCGGATGTGGCACTTCCTAGCATAAGTACTAGGATGCAACCTGACCCAGTGCCCGAGTATCAGACGCACAGTATGCAACCACACCGGGCGCCGGAGTACCAGACGCAACCAGACCTGGCACCTGAGTACCAGACACACAGGATGCACCAGATGCTGAATTCTCCCTGCTTGCATCCTGAAACACTGCCCACGCATCTGACGCAGGAATAATTTTTGCTGATGTATGTAGATGGGTAGATGCGCCAGCCCGGGCTCATAACCTGTTGTAAAAAGTCTTGATTCGATTGCTCAACCATCCTTCTACTTCCTGCCCAAGTGGAGGCCTAATATACTACAAGTACATAGCAGTCACACTACACAACTATGGTAGTAATGAGGTGGTCATATCGGCTTCTGTATACCAAAGGTGTATGATGATGTCAGCCACAGGTAACCGGATCTTGAGAAGCCACATATTCCAACACCCAGAATTCGGAACGGCACCAGTGAGAAATTATGACTACGGTCATTCCTACAAGGCCGATAGGGACTCACACCGCACATTCCCGCCATTAACAAAAGGAAAAGTTACACCCCTATCGTCACTCTGGAACAAAGCTCATCCCCCCAGGGACTTCGCAACCTCATCGATCGCTGCTGCTGTAATTCCCACATACTTCTTCGCCTCTTTCACATCACCCACTCTAACCGCTTCCGTGATTCCTGGGAGGGTAGTCGGCGCATACCCCGTTTCCACCCCGGGGGCATAAATCACTGTTACCCTATCAGTTGGCCGCTCCAACTAACCCCCTCTCAAAAAAGGAAGGGAAGGGAAACCCTACAATGTTTATAAAACACCCTCCCAGGCAACCCGTCGCCAATAAACCCCCTTTCAAACTTCCCTAACCTCTCGTTCACAATCGCCTCCTGCGTACCACCCCACTCGCCTGGCTCCAATGCTTCCTTGATCGCCATGAGGTCCCCGGCGGCAACCGAAAACCTACTAATTGCTGCTTCCAGTGATGACAAATCGAGCGTCATCCCTGCGGCCGCAATCTCGCCTTTTAGGTCTGAGAACATGGACTGTAGGGCTGTGTAGAAGGTAGTGACGTTGTAGGGAAGAAGGGTGTTCTCGGAGAGTCGCAAGACGGTCTTGCCGGCGATTTGCGCCATCGCAGAGTGGTGGGTGAAGTACGGGTCACCCCACGTGGCCATCCAGGTGTAGCTATCGTAGTTGGAGTGGTAGTGGTACACCGGATCCTTGGGGCCACTTCCAAAGCCGAAATCGATCTGGGTCACTTTAGTGAGGACTTTTTAAAGGGAAAAGATGGTGGAAAGGAGGAGAGTGCTCACGACAGCAATCCCGGATTCATGGACGAAGGCCGTGTAATCACTGCCTGTGCCAGGGACTTGAGATGATGTTAGACATTATCTGTATATCCTTTGTCCAAAGGATCAGGTACCTCTGGCTTTACCGCCTTTTGTAATCCATTCGTCATAGACAGATTTTCCTGGAACCTTCGGAGACGGGACTTCTTTGATTGTGTCCTCGACCAAATCCCAGAGCTCGGGCACGGCTGTAAGAGAAAAATGCGGTCCCGAAACAGCAATATCAAGATTGACATAGGCGACCACATTCGGTGTAGCCCATGTCACGAATTCTTCAACCCATTCTGTTGACCCAATCAATCCGGATTCTTCGCTGTCCCACGACGCCATCACGCTATTTCACTTAGCCAGTGCCCCGTGAGATAGGGTGAGAGGAAACTTACATAGTACGCTTGGGCTTCCATCCTAGTTTCAAGAGTTCGCCAAACGCCTTGGACAGCTCCACCAACACTGCTGTTCCAGAACCGGGATCCGAGGCTCCGCCTAGATAGGTGAGTATCATAGCCGGGCATTGAGGGGAAGGGTTGTAACATACCAACAATCCAAGCATCTCTATGATTCCCAATAACGACAACCTCATCCTCGATGGTGCCATTAATAATGCCGATAGCGTTCCATATAGGGGTGTAAGTATAATCTACTATGTTCTCAAAGCTAATAATAGCTCCAGGTCTTGGGCCGACGGAGTAAGAAACATTGAGACCTCCTGTCCAGCGATGTCTGCCCACCTCCTCTGCAGTCAACCCGTAGCCGTCAAGAGCTCGAAGGAGTGGGAGGGCATCCCTAAATGACAGTGGCAATGACGGTATTGAGGGGATGAACTCGGATGGGTCTTCCCTTTTGACACCGGGTTTAGAAGGGTATCCCGGAGTTGTCTGTTCATTTTTAATATTGCACATTGGTGAGGGTGGATAGTTATGCTACTGACCGGATCCCCCGCCATAGTTGTCAGAAAACCTACAGACCCACGCTGCACCGAAGACGGATTCCTTGCGGGGCCAGCGGGATATGCGGCATATCCGTTTGCCTTTGTGATCTCTCCGTCGTCCCCGGGGTCAGAGTAAATGAGTACTCCTGTCATTCCCCGTTCCTGGGCATACTTGACCTTAAGGGCTCTGAAGGCTCCACCATACTTTGCCAGTGCGATCTTCCCTTTCAGATCGACCCCGAGGTCAACCAACCTCTGGTAATCCTTCTTTGCACCCATTCTGCCACCCAATTGTTTAGTTGCTTTCGAGTATGATGTGTATAAGAGGAGCACCCACCCCACATAAATATACTCCGCCTGGGCGCTCCCGCTCTTCGAGTGCCCATGGAAAGTTGGAACCCTATCCGACGCACCAGTCGTCGGATCCTCCGGGAGAACATCCTCCTCCAATCCCGCCACAAACCTCTCCCCACCATCAATTGTCAAGCTCAGCGAGTGAGAAAGTGGGTAATTCAGGTAAACTTCATACTCCACCAAATGTGACGGAATCCCATTCTCGATCCATTTATCCCGCGTCCACTCCGCCATGGACTTATTCGTCCCCGCGAGGTGATTACCGTGCGTATAGTAGTATGACCATTGGGCGATGGTGGCATTGCTGATGGACTCGGTTATGATGGCCTCCTGCCCGGCCAACGTCAGGTTCGAGCGCCCGGAAACGGATGGGCAATCGGGAGGAGCGGGGGCTTTCCTCGAGCAGGGTTCGAACGGGAAGCCCCCGTTTTGGTTACAATGGGGACAGGCGCTGCCCTCGTGGTGGTTTCCCGGGAGCCTGCCTCCGCGTTGTATTTGTGGATCGCGGTGATGAAAGTAGTTTATAGCTAACCAGACGGAGTACACCGCTAATAAAAGCAGGATTGAAAGCCACCTGGTCTTGGATAACTTGCGCTTTGGCGGTTGATTTGGGTTTGCGATACGTTCGCCTGATCCCCCAGTTAGCAAGAAGTAATACCGCGCCGAGGGGCAAGGCGATAAATAGAGCCTCACGGTTCTCCTGATGACTCCCACCCCCGAACTTGTCCTTTGAGGGCAATGGAACCGCCATTACTTTAGCCATTCCCGACCCGTAAAACCAATGGAGAACAATCAATAATTAAGAGACCACCCTTCACCGATAGTCTACCTTACCGCTACTCTCTTAAGAACCCAACGGTACTCGCCAAATTCAGGTGTCTGTCTCCGGGGTTCAGCCGCTAGTGGCAACCCAGCAACCAGTCTCGTCTGGGAGCCTTGACGATAGGGGAATTATGTTGATAGCTATCACTCATGAACTAAATATCCCTAGAAACACAGTGTCCCTTCCGGTAGTTGGGCGGTTCTGAGAAGAGAGTGCAATTCTCAGAAGTGTGGTGGAGCGGTTGCTCGTGCATATCGGCAGAAGTAAGTTAATTTACAATCATAACCGAACCTTACTCGGTTACGATAAGACGCCCAGAATTCCCCTCTCCGGATAAAGGGGGATCGCCCTGAAGGGACAACATTCGGCCCCGCGCCGAGACATAAAAAGAAAAATATAGTAGGCCTTACTGGGAGAGGCGGCTCCAAGGCACCCTAGCATGAGGTCCGTAGACAACTTCTGGGAACAGACTTTCAACTTCAGCCCTCCTCGCCGCCCGCCCGAGCGCAGGAAACCAGTATCACAAACCTACCGCTCGCGTAGAATAGGTGCCAGCCTCCAGCTTTAGCCATTTACTTCCAGTTAAGGAAGGATACTTCCCTGATCTCGTTACTTCCCCGACTAGATCTCTCAGAAGTATTATAGCAGCAGGCAGCCGACTGGCCAAGTAAGGGATAAATAGACAGAATATCCTCTGAAAGACTACCTTCAATACTCGTACGAGTACTGGAGTACCGTACGTACTCCAGTCCGCCTATCCAATTTTCACGTTTAATCCCATCACAATGTTATTGTCATGGTCATGGAAAAGCGATGCAATGGGCCCAGCGCAAGAGACACTCGCGGGGATTAGCACCATAGGGGTGCTGGCAGCCCACAACACTGTATCGTCAAGACTGGCCCCGAGACCCCACTCCCTCCGGTACCCAACCTCCCCCCACACATACAATACTCGAGTGCATTAAACTATCGTATCATATCATAAAAGCGAAAAACAAATCCGAGTACCCCCGCCCCCCCACCGAAACGCGACCTCGCTCGCGAACAATTCTCCGGAGCCCGGAGGCGTTTTAGGATTCCGGGCGGTTTGCAGAGTAGGAAGAGAGAAATTGTAGCCAGTTTAATGTCATAAAGGTTAACTATACCAATGCTACAATAGTACCTAGTTGGCTGGAGGTTTCCTGTAGGGTATCATATCATACATGCAGTCATGGAAACTCGCCAGAGTTGGCGGCCACACCCACATGAAAGCTGGCCAATTTTTTTTACGTCAGTTCCCCCAGTTGCTTGGGACTCCTGGGTTCCACTGCAATGTAACGAGGGCAGACCGGTCACAAAGTCATCTTTCTATGTGAAATTCACCCGCTGCCTTGTAAGTTTCCATGGTTCCGGTTGGGGAACATGATAGTTAGTAAGTGGAGGGGTTGTCCCCTTGCGCTAGAAGATGGGGATGGAGAGGGTGGGGATGCAGGCAGGATCGACGGAGACTTCTGTCAAATTGATCACCTTCTCGGTTTTCTCGGGGGGTTAGTGAGTTCTTTCCGGTATTCCTGATCCTAGAGTCTAGGCTATGCTAATTAATGTCCAATACTGGACTTTAGTATACGATATGTTCTAATGTTTCTTCAGTTAATATCTCATGCATAACCAAGGCTCCTCTTTATTGTTCCAGTCTGCTTGACTTGTCGGGTAGCTCTTTCCACCATCCATCTGATGCGTGCAGGAACTTAGACTTGGTCATATATTTCTAGTGGGGGTACCACAGCGTCCTTCATTTATCATACTTCAGATATGGTCCCCAACACCAGAAGCCGTTTCCATCTTGATAGACTCTTATAAATCTTTTCCAATTCCCCTCATTATTGTCTCCGCAGGTATCAATAAAGTGGTGGGACTTCACCATAATAATCTAGTCATCAAGGACCAGACAAAACAAATCTTATCAAACAATGTTCTGTTGAGACCTGTAACAACATACCAGGTTGGGAGCGGAATATTTGTACGGCAACTGTGAGAATACTCTTCATCCGCTTCTAGCTATACAGTTAAATTTTAAGATTTAGCCCGAATTTAGCTAAATCACTTTTGAGAAACAACCTGGACGGGATTAAGCCCGGTTGCCTGGGAAGTGAAGAATCGATCCAGGGGGGAATCACCCGCGTTTCCAACCTGATCTCATTCGTCACCATTCACCTTCATCCCCATATTCAATTGCTAGTTCGCTTGGGGTGAGATGAGAGAAAGTATCCGGGTAATGATAGCAGGAATTTTGCATGGGTTGCGACCACCCCTTATGCCACCGGTAATGTTATTTCCAAAAGCCCTCTTTGCGGTGGATCCGCCCCGATATCATGCTATCCTTACGCCAGGTCACAAAAGTGCCCCTGGTTCTGGAAAGAATCCCACAATTTCAAACGCACCAAGGGGCAAATTGTGACCACGCTCATTCCTACATATATTCTTGAGAACACTTTCATCGCACAATACCAATAGCTTAACAAAATGAAAACCACATGCCAATTCGCTTCCCCATCATCAGTCACTCTGGAGCAAAGTTCATCCCTCCAGGAACTCCGCCACCTCATCAATCGCAGCCGCAGTAATTCCTACATACTGCATAGCCTCTTCTACATTGCCCACTCTAACCGCCTCCGTGATCCCCGGGAGTGTGGTCGGCGCATATCCCGTTTCCACCCCAGGTGCGTAAATCACTAAGTTACCTTGTCAGCCCCGCTCCAACCAGCCCCATCTCAGAAGGGGCAGAGGAGAAAACCTACGGTGTTTATAAAACACCCTCCCAGGCAACCCGTCGCCAATAAACCCCCTTTCAAACTTCCCTATCCTCTCATTCACAATGGTCTCCTGTGCACCACCCCACTCGCCTGGTTCCAATGCCTCCTTTATCACCATGATATCACCGGCGGCAGCAGCAAACCTAACAATCGCCACTTCCAGGGGTGACAGATTGAGCGTCATTCCCGCTGTCGCGATCTCGCCTTTCAGGTCTGAGAGCATGGACTGTAGGGTGGTGGCGAAGGTGGTGACGTTGTAGGGAAGGAGGACGTTCTCCGAGATTCGCAGGACGGTCTTACCGGCGATTTGTGCCATTGTGGAGTGGTAGGTGAAGTACCGGTCGCCCAACGTGGTCATCCAGGTATAGCTATCGTAGTTAGAGTGGTAATGGTATACCGGGTCCTTAGGGCCGTTTTCAAAGCCAAAGTCGACCTAGGTGACTTTAGTGAGAGTTTTTCTTTTAAAGGAAAAGGATCGTTGAGAGGAAGTGGGTGCTTACGACCGCAATTCCGGACGTGTGGACAAAGACCCCGTGGTCGCTGCCTGCTCCAGGAACTTGAGATGGTGTTAGGTATTATCTATATACTTCTAGTCCAAAAGATAAGTTACCTCCAGCTTCACCCCCATCTGCAGTCCATTCATCATAGATAGATTTTCCTTGTGTTTTCGGAGATGAGACATTTTGAATTGTGTCTTCGACGAGACCCCACAGCTCGGGCACAGCTTCAATGCGGAAGTGGGGGCCTGCAACAGCCATATCAACATTGACATAGGCGACCATGTTCGGTACAGCCCAAGACACGAATTCTTCAACCCATTCTGTTGACCCGATGCATGCGTATTCTTCGGCGTCCCAGGATGCCAAAATGCTATTCCACTCAGCCAGTGCTCCGTAAAATGGGGTCAGGGGAAACTTACATGGTACGCTTGGGCTTCCATCCAAGTTTTATGAGCTCGCCAAACGCCTTAGATAGCTCCACCAACACTGCCGTTCCGGAATTGGGATCCGAGGCTCCGCCTAAGTAGTTGAGTATCATAGCTGGGTGTTGAAGGGAAGGATTGAAACATACCAACAATCCAAGCATCTCTATGATTCCCAATAACAATAACCTCATCCTCGATGGTGCCATTAATAATGCCGATAGAGTTCCACACAGGAGTGTATGTATAGTCCACTTTATTCTCAAGGCTAATAACAGCTCCAGGTCTTGGGCCGACGGAGTAAGAAACATTGAGACCTCCTGTCCAGCCAGGCCTGTCCACCTCCTCCGCAGTAAAACCGTAGCCATCGAGCGCTTGAAGGAATGGGAGAGCATCCTTAAATGATAATGGCAATGACGGGATTGAGGGGATGAACCCGGATGGGTCTTCCCTTTCGACGCCGGGCTTAGAAGGGTATCCCGGAGTTGTCTATTCATTCTTAACATTACAAATAAATGAGGGGGTAGAAGGTTATGACTAACTGGATCTCCTGTCATGGTGGCTAGAAACATTACAGATCCACGCTGGACGGAAGACGGATTCCTTGCGGGGCCATCGGGATATGGGGCATATCCGTTCGCCTTTGTGATCTCTCCGTCGTCCCCCGGGTCAGTGTACGTGAGTACGCCTATCATTCCCTGTTCCTGGGCATACTTGACCTTAAGGCCTCTGAAGGTCCCCCCATACTTTGCCAGTGCGATTTTCCCCTTCAGGTCGACACCGAGGTCAACCAATCTCTGGTAATCGGCCTTTCCGCCCAGACTGCCATCTAATTACTCGGCCGCCTCTGAGAGCAGGGTATTATTATGAAACAAGAGAAGCACCCACCCAACATAAATATACTCTGCCTCTGCACTCCCATCCTTCGAATACCCATGGAAAGTTGGAACCCTATCAGCCGCACCAGTCGTCGGATCCTCCGGGAGAACATCCTCCTCCAATCCCGCCACAAACCTCTCCCCACCATCAATTGTTAAGCTCAGCGAGTGAGAAACTGGGTAGTTCAGGTAAACTTCGTACTCCACCAAATGTGACGGAATCCCATTCTCGATCCATCTATCCCGCGTCCACTCCGCCATGGACTTATTCGTCCCCGCGAGATGCTTACCATGCGTATAGTAGTACGACCACTGGGCGATGGTGTCATTGCTGATGGACTCGGTTATGATAGCTTCCTGCTCTGCCAGTGTCAGGTCTGAGTACTCGAATATGGGCCGGCGAATGGGGGAAGGAGCGCCTATCTCCTCTTGGGAAGGCTCGAGCGAGTAGTCGTCGTTTTGGTGACGCTGGCGACGAGGAGGGTGGAAATCGTGGCCGCCGTCTTTGTGGTGCATTCCCGGGAGTTGGATTCCTCCTTGTGGCTCTGGGTAGTGGTGGCGAGGGCAGTTTATAGCAAACCAGACCAAGTATCCTAGAGATGAGAGCAGGATGGGGAGCTTTAGGAGCCATTTTGTCTTGGATAGCCTGCGCCTGAGTGGTTGCTTTGGCTTTGAGATATCTTCTACTAATGCCTCTGTCAGTAATAAGTAATACTGCTTCTGGGGATATGAAATACAGAGGGGCTCACAGTGCTCCCCATCATTCCCACCCCCAAACTTGTTCTTCATTGTAGTCATCATTACTTTGGTTATTCTCTACCTTTAGGAAGGCCAGCGAAAAATAACCAAAAGATGAAAATACCACCTTTCATATCAGACCTACCACCCCTCTCTTAAGTGCCAAAGAATACCACCTCCCCCCTGCACCAATTTGCAAGACCCCAACCTCTCTCTCTTCTCATGTGGAATTCGTATGCCGCCGGGATCCCCTCTGAGACACCCTATCCCCGCAGCCATCATAACTATCATAACCCAATCACCCTGCACTCCCCCCCTGCTCCCCGCGCGGCCCGGCCCTATCCCACAACCCACCCCCCCCCCCCAAAAAAAATACTGATGGGCACGCAATTAAAAAATTAATAGCCTTTTTTTTTCTTCCACCCCTAAGTTACGTCATTATTTGTGTTGCAAAGCAAATAGTTTAAGAATTGTACTCCTTTGGATATATCTCAACCTATAGGCATCCTACCACATTTTTACTTCCCCTACGGCGCGTCGAACACAGAACCCATATATATAAAGTTTAAATCGGTGCAGTTTAAGGGGGGAAGGCGTGAAACCTCTCTTTATGGACCCCGTGTTAGATATAGTCCTTCCCCGGATATGAACCTCTCTCGGGTGAAACTAGAGGTAAAAGTTTTTTTGTTTTTTTCAATGATAATAAGATAGCCAATACAGCCAGGGGAGTAGAGAAGCCAGGAGTGGAAGGTATCTTGGCTTGGTCTACTCTATCCAAGAAAAAGTAATAATAATGCAATAGTAGCATTCCGCATCTAAAATACCGGTAGTTAAACATCAGGCTGGGAGATTGGAGTTACCTCTCCTAGCAAATTCTATTACAGTATTATTATTCTCTCTTTATTTGTCTCGGCGGCCGGTAGAAAGTTGGTTTTTCTATCCAAAGAGGGGAGAATTCCGGACCGCCCGGAGTTCCTACGGTACTGAGATAATAGAGCCTAACTTTTGTCGACTGCTTCTTCCCTATTCCTTGAACCTGGAGGCGTATCACGAGGTCTTTCTGTTGGTTTGATATTGTTCTTGGCTCTATCTCTCTCACCGCCGCATCTTATATTTCCGGTATATTTTCCTCATAACATTATCTGCAATAGATTCACAAAACAATGATACACCCCCAGACAATATTCTTAATTACAACGGATTGTACGTACTCTCAACATTTGAATAAGTCCCCTCCCCACCCCCCCAATGCACGCTCTGAGGAAGAAAATCTCCCTATATAGAAAATCCTGTTTTCGAAAGAAAAAAATCAGTTTATTCATTAAGGTTCAAGTACCACTCGAGTTTCCAATTTTGATATATCCCCAGCGGTTACTCTATCAAGTACCGTACTAGGCGCTAGCAATTATCCCGCCTAATCTGCAGAGACTAGGTTTTTTTTTTTGCGTCCTTACAGAAACGGACTCAAACGAGATGAGATAGCGTGCAGTACAGGATATCCAATCGCAAGCAAGAAAATTCTCCGGTGCAACCCGAATCTCCAAACCCCATCAGTTATTACATGGCGAAAATCTAGGCATTACAATACAACCTCTAAAAGATCGACAATCGGATCGGAGAAATCGTTTCCGCCTTGCGTCACCCGTCCCCCGCCCCCTCCTTCAGGAGTGAAGGTGGGGAAATGTAGGAAGAAGGTGTAAGAGAAAAGTCATATGGAGTCACTCGCGCCTGCAGGGACCCGCACACTTACAAGCGAGGGGTTGTTGGCCGAGTTCGGGAGGTGGTATAAGAGCCGAAGTGAGGCACCGCCTAATCGAACAACGAATATCAAGGAACTTCACTTTTTTTCCGTCCGCACTTGGTAAGTTGGGTATCGCAACAACCTTGGAGCTAAGCTGAAGCTGAAAGATACAGTTCAGCAGTACCGTGAACGCGGCGAACCGGAAAAATCGTTGGATGATGGTGTGTGATGGTGGAGGTGTCAATCGATCGGCCTATCGAAAAATTGCGTAGTCTAGATCCTACATGCCATCGACCGATAGATAGCCAATTATCCTACCCGTGCGGGGAGGGCTGCGCTGTACACGGCATACATACTGTTCTTGCTGCTAGACCGTATATTATATAGACTAACTTGATCTGACCGCTTTTGCTATTATGTGTAGGCCATTCGCGTAACTGGGCTAACGAAGTAGTAGGTACCTCTTCCTCTCCACCTCTGGTCGGCCGGTCTGCCAACGATGGCACTCACAGTCAGATACAGCAACCCCGGGGAAATCTTTGGGAAACGGTGCTTATCCCCATTCTAACTGTGAGGTGTATTTGGTGTTGTGGGTTCCAGTGCTGATCTTAACCCCAGAAAGCTCCAACAATAAATGCAAGCAAAACGGGAGATAAATTAAAAGGCAGAGTAGGCAACCCCGACCTGCCCTTTCCTGCATGGATACATTGAGTTGCGTCCGCTCGCAGGCGCAACGGACGTACAATCCCTGTAAGGCCCTCACCCCCCCCCTTCCACGAGAAAGAATGTGTAACCCAGCGCAAAACACCTCATACACATGACCCGGGCTTCGGAAGACTCTTCGGGAAATGATTCTTGGTCGAGGGGATAACACTCCGGCATTGGGCAATGGTGCCCTAATAACTTTACCCCCAAGACTAGGCCATGCCTACTTGAGCGGACGAGATCGGAGTTCCGCAAACGCGAAGCATGATGGACACGCTGGGATCGCTTGAGCCTGAAATTGTATATCGGGCACGAGAGGAAACTTCCTTATGATATACCCCAAGCTCCTTTGCAACCCAGCGTCATACACCCCTAGAGAACTTGCAGATACGATGCAGGTTTAGAGATCGATAAGCCTTGGGGTGGCGCCGATAGATGCCCTTCGAATTGAAGCATGTGCCATATCCGATCGGGGCCTATTCCAGCTGGTGGCCTCGCTATGTAACGGCAATAATTTGCCGAAAAAGAATATAGACACCATCCAGGATATAAACATAAATCCAGATGATCCGTCATTAGGTATCACTCGCCTCATTTTTCACCTTCCTACACTCCCCACCTTCTCCTCTCGGCTCTTGACCAAAAACCTCGGTTACTCTGTTGTGATATATTACTCCTACCCCTGTCTTTCAATGTTCCATTTCAAACCCCCCCCCCTAACCTCCCGCCCTATAATCCCTGGGCGGTTGAGTTGGTGGACCTCACAAGGGAGGACCGGGCCACCACAAGCGTTAAGGAACTTGGGATATTTGGAACCTCCCCTCTTCTTTTTGGCTTTTCTTGGTATTCTCCCACTCTAGTTCGGGAGGGGGGGGGGGGGGTGCAATGTATGCTGGGCTACGTTGAATCAATGGTCATGCCATGTGCCTTCTCACATGATCAGACCCGAACAGAGATCTATTTACATATCTCAATACCCCTAGAAATCACCCCGCAAGGTACACCCATTCTTATAAATGGCAGCAACGCACAATCGCAGACGATACGCAGACAAGCCCCGCATGGGCTACCCGTTAGTCCACAACCCTTCTCCCTAGCTGGCAGGTTGTAGGCCCGCGCGCTGCCATATCATACGAGAGTACCTTCAAACATGTGCTTCAAAAGTCGGTCCGAAGATGACGGGATATTTGAGGAGCGCAATTAACCCCCATACATTTCTAACGAAGAATTAGCTCTCGCTCGGGTTTGCAGGCTTGCACACCGTGTGGCTGTGGGTGCGAGGGTGATGAATTGAACTGCGACACAGTAGCATATGTTGAACCCACATCCTTCCGTCCTCTACATAAAATAGGCAAACACTTGCGTGCGAATCACACAAGGTCATAGCTACATATTACGATACCTCTTACTACTGAATTATTGGTTTTCCAAAAACTATCTACATATGAGGTCCATCCTGTTACTCAAAACAGAACAGGAAAGGACATCATATCAAGTTCCGCTACAAATTTAGTTATACCCTTCCAAAGCGATATTATATTATCTTTATTCTTCATGTAGTACGCTATCCGCTAAAACCCTTTCCCTGCCTATCCCATAATTCGAGGCCTTGTTCCAGATCTCATCTCTGACCTTCAATTCCCCCTGTGGTATGCTGACTAGTTAGTGCTCTCCAACCAACCCCTTGCTTAGATATGCAATATATAACATTTACTTCCAGTTTCACATAAATGGTTACTTGTAGAACTTCTACGGGCCCCGCTAGCATCCGAGATATGTAAATCACGTTATTTCATGGAACTGTGGGAGAGTGAGTAAGGGGGGAGGGGGAGAGAGTTAAGTGAAAAATCTACCTGTGTCAAATATGATGCAAAGCATAACAAATGCAAACCAAGGCTGTTGCATCCTGTAACACGTCTAAATCATCAGGGTAGAGGGTTACAGATTCCAAAATTAAATTTTATAGGTTTTATGTTCTATTCATACTGCTGTCTAAGTGTTTCCAATATTTTCTCTAACATAGTAGTGGTATTAGTTGAGCAAAAACTTGTCTCTAGAATTAAAAGATGATGTTGATTTGATATTAATTTTTACACACAATATAAAGATATAGATTTTATTTGCAAAATTAAAGGATTGGATTTTGAACCAGCAAAAAAAAAAGTTATTTAGAATAATAGATTGAACCTTGGCAGAACAGATAAACTTTTATATTTACAAACTCTTTACCCTGATAATTTGGAGGCATTACAGGATGCTATGGCCTTGGTATACATTTGATAAGCTTGCATCACATTAAGAGGATTGAGTTTCCCAAACAAACTGAAAGACAGCTTCTAAAGTCTATATAAAATATGTATTTAATTATAAATTATAGATATTTCGATAGTCGGGGTGTGGGGTAGGTTACCTACCATAAAGGATTACTCCATGTGAAATATCCATATTGGAGTTACAATATAGAGCCATGATCTTTCTCTATCCTGTCCTCTTATCTGATCAAGTATTATACCATAAGTACCCCTTAGTCCCTAGCCATTAGTAACTACTATACTAGGCTCCTGCTACTTGTAATACTAGTAGAGGGTAGAGACAGTAGCAGCCTAGTTTTAAT